ACTCTGACCTTGGCTGCCCTTCTCTTTTTGAACTTCGCGGTAGCTGTGTGCGCTGTACTTGTGTCACGTAGTTGAACGGGTACTTTGAGGAGGAAGCTTTAACGCCTTCCAGATGGGTGCTAATTGGACATACCCGTTCTTGTGTGTAAGAGGGTTCAGCCTTAACAAGCTTCTGCTGAGTAGGGAAATGTACGTGCATGATCTCTTTAGTGCATAAAAATAATGTATTATCACCTTTACTGTACCAAGGATGCTCTTGTGTAGTATATGTGTAGCACGCCAGCTGTAAGTTTTGGTTAATATTTGCACTCTTGCCCATTGCAGTGTTATTGTCAAACATAGGCAAAGGTACTGACTTTAACTGAAATACTTAGCAGAGGCTCTTGCTGCCGGTCTTTGTTCTATTACTCGTCTTACAAGTAAAGCCTGAAACTCCTTAAAGACATCTCTGTGATTACGCTGAAGAGTGCAGTCGGTGTCTCCAGTGTACCCTGTCAGACTGCATAGCTACCACAACGTGTGGCGCTGAGGATTCCTCAGCAGAAGAACACTGAGCTTTTCAGCAGTAATTTCTTTGTCTCGGTGATAATTGTTTTATTATTTCAGCTATTACTGCATTGAAGTATGAACTGTTTTTTCCTTGCACAGGCTTCGGTAGGAAAAAAAGAAAAAAGTAGAGGATTGTTTTATAAAGCCCTTCAAAACTGTCCTTGGGCAAAGGTAAGCATAGAAAAAAATATAAACCTGTCATCATACTCTAATTTTTGAAGTTCTATATTTCAAAAAAAAAAAGAAGTTAGTCTTTCATAGTTGTTGTAATGAGTTGTATGTAAATGAAAGGAGAGATTTCTGAGGGAGAAGTACTGTAAGATTTTCTGCAAAGAAGAGATGCATCTGAAATGGAGACAAACAGTGGTCAGTGCCGTTTGCGTTTCAGAACAGAAAGGCGTTGCATTGTGTGAGGCAAGGAGATAATAAATTCCTCTGTGTGATCTAGAAGTGATCGTGTCTTTCAGACTGTGTTTCATTATGAGAAGCGTGGTAGTAGCACAAATACATAGGCAAATAAAAATTTAGGTTAATAGTGTAAGAAATTATTCAGGAGCACCTGCAACCCCTCAGGTAATGTCGGTACACGCTGCAAATGCTCCAGCGCCTCTTGACCCACGTTTTATCGTTTTGAATAAGATTATTTAGTAAGAGTTGGAAAAGACTTGATTAAACATCTACATTGCTGTCACTGTAGAAGTACTAATTTTGTTTGTGTCACTTTAAATAAGGATATGATATTTCTTATGTTCTTGCTACAGAGTTGTTTGCGTTATCTACGTGCCTCTTTATACTACGTTTCTTGCTGTGGTAGCAAGCTGGCACAGAAGACCTTCTCATTGTCCTTCCAGGTGCTGTATCTGGACGCGGTAGAGTACTTCCCTGATCATCTGCAAGAGACGCTGGATCTAATGACAGAGAAAGAACTGAGAGTGCGGGTGCCTATGGAGGAGCTGGATCTGCTGTTAGAGGTTTGAAAGAAGACCGTAGATGAGTGGAGAAGGTGCAGCAGCTGGTTCCAAAACTAGCAGTTAGACCAGTCTCTTTTCAAACAGGAACTGTGTTGGGACTTGGGTACTATGTACTATTTTTTTTTTTTAAGCACTTTTTGTTGGTTTTCTTTCTTTTTTTAGCTTTTATGTAAATTGCTATAAATAAGGAGTTCTACTATCTGCAAGTATTCTGGAATCAAGTACTGCATTTTGCCCACAAAAATGCATCCATGTCTCTGAAGTATTGCTGGCTCCCACAGCAGGATCCCCTCTCACAAATAGCCTCCTGTTGAATGTTGCCCACATTTCTTATTCTATTGTTTGAAATGACATTCCCTGGAGTTCCATGGAGGTTCAGTACATGCCAGCTATGGTTTGGTGAGCAGCACAGGAAATAAACATCCGCCAAATGGATGCTCCACTGTCCCCCATTGGCAGGCCTCAGTAATTTCCTTCTGCTTGGTATGCGTGCGTGTGTGTATATAACTGCCAGGTCAAACAGCCCTTGCATCTGTACATACACTGTTAGTAAAAGCTAAATCTTTGCTTGAGCAGCCACCTATTTTGGACTTGTATTTGTATGTTTTGACAGATGGCCATTTTAGTACAAATATTTATGAAAAATATACCTGATTATTTGAAAATTCAAAAGGAACTTGAATTATTTTTTATTTCTTAATTTAATATAACTGTGAGTGTATTAAAAATGAAAATGTATCCGTAATGCCTCTCTGAGCAGCTTACTTGTAAATAAATTTTTGTAATTGATTACTCACTTTTGACCCAAATACAGGAAATTATCATAAAAGAAGTAGAGGCCTGGTCTGCCTTTAATCCTCACCAAAGAAGGCTGAGTAATCAAAACATGATTGTTTAATTAGCAGCTTCTATTCCAAGAGTCTTTAGGCAAGCTCCTAGAGAAGTAATATGCAATATGGTAACAATTTATAGTTATGTTATATATGTATTTTATAAGACAGAATATGCTGAAATACGTAAAAGACTGTTTAGCATCCCTACTGTTCAGACCCAAGAACTCAGAAACTGGATCTGTGAAACAGGGTACCTGCAGCCACTGCAGACCCAAACCCGTTTCAGAGCTTTTTCAGGACAAAACTGACTGTCCCTAACAGCTCCGAAACGACTGGGCTCGTCCAGCTGATGACGTCTCATTACACGCAAAACTGTGGCTGGACAAAGCCAGACAACCTGTGCCTTGGCTTTGCCTGTAGCACCACAGTACCAGATATAAGTTGAGTTTAGGCTGCATTTCATTTATTTTTTTCTAAGATTATTTTAAATAATACAGGGAATATGCAGAATTTTGAATGGCATCACAGACCTTCTTAAGAGCCTTGTAATATTGCTGTAGTTGCAAGTGATGCTGATTTTGTTACAAAAGTAATTGATTAGTCTTTGTAAAAAAAATGTGTATTTTATTTTTAAAATCCATGCTTCTTGCAGAAATGACAGAGCTGCTGAATCGGGGGTAGGAGTTACGCTGTGCGCTGAGCAGTGACAGCACACATTGTGTGTATGTGCAGCTTTGCTCTTCCATCAAAGCAGAAGGCCGTTTCCTCCAGCGACCTGGAAGGGGCACGGAGCTGGGGAAACCTGGCTGTGCTCCTGGTTGTGTTTCTCCCAGAGCCACAGGATCACCGAGCAGCCCAGGTTGGGAGGGACCTTCATCGCTCCACCTGGTCCAGCCTTTTGTGGGACAGGGAGCCTCGTAGAGCGGTCCAGCCCCCTGTCCAGTCCTGTCTGGAACGCCTCGGGCAAGGGCAGCGATGGCGCCTGTTTCGGTCACTTCTCACTCTGACTCATCCCCTCCCCGGGCCCGGCTTCCCCCTTGGCAGCATCCACGCCACTGGTGCCGCTGGGGACGGCTCGAGGCTGTGCACTTGCCGAGAGAAAGTGCCACAAGTTAAATCCTGCTGCAAAAGAGTTTAATTTTCAAATGTGTTTCTTTTTCAGTTACTGTTGTGGCAGACAGTGTACCAGAACGCAGTTCTTGGTTTAGCTTGAGACATGGCAGCTTTCCTTCAGTCAGCTGAACCAGCCTCGTGGTTGTTGTTTCTGGCCAGCGTTAGCAGCCCTGTCCCACATGAAAAGCCTCACTTGCCACACGTCATAAAGCTTTTCAGCCCCTCAAGCGATGATGAGATCAACTGCCGTGATGAGGAAGTGCTAAAAAATCACTGGTTTTTTGTGACCTTTCCAGAGAGGCAGATCTCATACGGTTTGCAAGAATGGGTAATAAAACTTTGCTTGTTGTTGTTCTGTCCTGATGAAAAACAACTCTATGTCAAGGTTCCTGTCATCCAGACTGAAGAAAAGATTCCACCCAGCTGTAGGCTTTG